CTAGTGAAAATAGTGTTGAACCCCCCAAAAAGAAACATTGCAAACGATTTCAGAACTCCTGGTTGTCCGAATTTTCATGGCTTAGATTTGACAAAGACAATGGGAAAATGTTTTGTTTAACATGCGAGACATATGAAAAAAACACTAACAAGAAACATGGCAATGCCATGAAACCAGGTTTTCAATTATCACCATTGTAGATAAATATGTTGTATTTGAAATACAAATACAAGGAACAAACAATGTAACTATGTGCAATGTAAAACATGAATAATTAATGTAGGAGGAATTGCCACAGAGGAAGTGTTCACTATAATTATACTCTGTATAAGGAAAAAAAACAAAGGGCCATAATTAAATAAAAAATTACTCAATCACAAAACCTCGACAATATGCGCCAGGGCACTGGATGACAAAGCTACTGTGAAAGTTTGAACAAAATCCGTTGAGAAATGTAGGAGTTCAGCACAGAAAATTTTTTTCACTATATATTCTGTATAAGGAAAAATAACAAAGGGCCATAATTAGGTCAAATATTATCCAATCACAAAACCCCGATAATGTGCGCCAGGGCACTTGATGACAAAGCCTCTGTGAAAGTTTGGTCAAAATCTGTTGAGAAATGTAGGAGAAGTTGCGCATGGTAAAAATTGTTCACTATATAATCTGTATAAGGAAAAAAAACAAAGGGCCATAATTAGGTCAAATATTATACAATCACAAAACCCTGACAATATGCCCTAAGGCACTTGATGACAAAGCCTCTGTGAAAGTTTGGTCAAATTCCGTTGAGAAATGTAGGAGGAGTTGCGCACAGAAAATTGTTCACTATATATCCTATATTGGGAAAAAAAACAAAGGGCCATAATTAGGTCAAATATTATCCAATCACAAAACCCCAACATTATGCACCAGGGCACTTGATGACAAAGCCTCTGTGAAAGTTTGGTCAAAATCCATTGAGAAATGTAGGAACAGTTTGGCACAGAAGAAATTATTCACTATATATTCTATATAAGGAAAAAAAACAAAGGGCCATAATTACGTCAAATATTATCCAATCACAAAACCCCGACAATATGCGCCAGGTCACTTGATGACAAATTTCTGTGAAAGTTTGGTCAAAATCCGTTGAAAAATGTAGGAGGAGTTACGCACAGAAGAAATTGTTTACGCCCGCCCGCCCGTCGACATACCTCAATCTAATAACCAGTTTTTTCCTTCGGAAAACCTGGTTAAAAAGTGTCTGAAATCGGCGTTTACAATTGGGACTAATAATTTCCAGCGGTCAGCATTAGTTAGACACCAGAAATGTGACGATCACAATGTGTCATGCAACGCCAAAAAGCAACAATCTTACATGACTGCTGCTGTAAAAATAGTTCAGAAAAAATATGAACCAATCTTAGAGGCACAGCTCAGGACCACATTGTATATGGCTAAAGAAAATATTGCCAACAGAAAGTTTCTGAGTTTGATTGATTTGCAGGTAGATTTTTTTTTTGCTCAAAATAACATGCTGATAGATTTCAAATTCCTACAAAAGCTAAACAAGAGGGCCATGATGGCCCTGAGGTCGCTCACCTGTATATAGGCCCCCCCACCCCCCCCCCCCAACGTTGCAGAGCCAATTTAACCCAAGGGCTTTTATTTGCACAAACTTGGTAGACACCCATAAGAAGATGTTTCATGCTAAACACTTAAGCTCTAGCTCATTGGGCTTTTAAAAAGAAGATTTTTTTAAAGTTTTTACAATACACATATAGTTAAAAACAATGACACCCCTGGGGCCGGGCCAGTTTTGACCCCAGGGCTTTTATTTGAACAATCTTTGTAGACACTTACTAGAAGATGTTTCATGCTTAATATCTAAACTCTAGCTATTTGGGTTTTTTCAAAGAAGATTTAAAGTTTTTGCTAAACACATATAAAGAAAATCAATGACCCCCGGGGCGGGGCCAATTTTGACCCCTGGGCTTGTATTTGAACAAACTTGGTAGACACCTATTAGAACATGTTTGATGCTCAATATCTTAGCCATAGCTCTTTGAGTTCTTTAAAAGAAGTTTTTTAAGTTTTTACTATATGCATATAGGGAAAATCAATGACCCCCCGGGGCGGGGCCAATTTTCACCCCAGGGCTTTTATTTGAACAAACTTGGTAGACACCCATTAGAACATGTTTCATGCTAAATATCTTAGCTCTAGCTCTTTGGGTTCTTTAAAAGAAGATTTTTTAAGTTTTTACTATATGCATATAGGGAAAATCAATGACCCCACGGGGCGGGGCCAATTTTCACCCCAGGGCTTTTATTTGAACAAACTTGGTAAACACACTAGGAGATGTTTCATGCCAAATATCTAAGCTCTAGCTCTTTGAGTTCTTTAAAAGAAGATTTTTAAGTTTTTACTATATGCATATAGGGAAAATCAATGACCCCCGGGGCGGGGCCAATTTTCACCCCAGTGCTTTTATTTGAACAAACTTGGTAGACACCCATTAGAACATGTTTCATGCTAAATATCTTAGCTCTAGCTCTTTGGGTTCTTTAAAAGAAGATTTTTTAAGTTTTTACTATATGCATATAGGGAAAATCAATGACCCCCCGGGGCCAAGGCCAATTTTGACCCCAGGGCTTTTATTTGAACAAACTTGGTAGACACTCACTAGAAGATGTTTCATGCCAAATATCTAAGCTCTAGCTCTTATGGTTTTTTAAAAGAAGATATTTAAAGTTTTTTCTTTCGGTTGCCATGGCAACCAGAGTTTTGCATGGAATTAAATTCTTTGAACAATTTTTAAAGGTGACCACCAAAGGAACATTCCTGTGAAGTTTGGATGAAATTGGCTTAGTGGTTTATGAGGAGATGTCATTTAAAGTAAAAGTTTACGGACGGACGACGGACGGACGCCGGACGAAAAGCGATCACAAAAGCTCACCCTGTCACTTTGTGACAGGTGAGCTAAAAAGAACTATTGTTAAAACTTTAATCAGTGATCATTTGTTTTTAAATAATTTTTGAGAAAAAAAATCCTTGCATGCTAAAAATACATGAAAAAAAATCACTAAGCATTGAAATCTTATTATCTCTATTCTATAAAATATAAAAAAAATCCACTATTAGGCAACTGTACACCATATCATTACTATTTTAAAATGCATTTTTAATTTTCACTGCAGATATCCAATGCGCACATCTTCTCTAATTCATCTGTAAAAGAAACCACTGATCCTGATCTTGGTAACATAAAACCTTCAGGAATTTTAAGGAACCACCAAGCAGTCATGCATATGCAACAGTACCTGGCTGATGTCCTACAGGAAATGGCTCTTATCCGGATTAAAAACAGCCCATATATTGGCATAATGGTGGACGAATCTTTAGACATAACAACCACAAAAAAACTTGTAATGTTTGCAAAAATCATTCATAATGGTGAACTGAAGTTGGAGTTTTGTGCAAATGTTGACATTGTTGATGGCAAAGCAGAAACTGTATATAAGGAAATTATAAACTGGCTTGGTTCTGTAGGTGTAAATGTTGACAAAGTATCAGGGTTTGGAAGTGATGGTGCTTCAGTAATGGCAGGGAGGAAAGCTGGGGTTGGTGTAAAATTAAAGGCTGACAACCCCAGAATAATTCACATTTGGTGTGCTGCACATAGACTAGCCCTTGTATCATACTGGGCAGCTAAAAGAGTCCCTTATCTGCAGAATGTACAAGAAACTCTTGTTAATATTTACAATTTTTATGAGTTTTCAGCACCCAGGTACAACAAAATTAGAGAATTAAAAAAAATAATGGGTGACCAAGTCAAAAGGTTTAAGAAGCCTACTCAGGTTAGGTGGTTATCACTACAGAATTCCATTGAAGCTGTACATTCAAGTTGGTCAGCTTTGGTGTTAGGGTTAGAACATTAGTGTGCAACCAGCCCCCAATCTGAGGGAGGTCACAAAAGTAAGGGTATTCATAGGAAAATCAAAACTTTCCATTTCATTTCAACCATATGCCTTCTTAAAGATATTCTAAGTTGGATTTGCAGGCTGTCAAAGTTTTTTCAGAAAGATAATATTGACATACATCAGGTTGATAGTATGATCTCTGCTACAAAAGCTACTATTTCTGCACTTAGTGGTTCTACTGAATCTCCCTCAGTTCAGGAGCTGATTGACAGCATAGATGATACTGATACTTACCAAGGCATTACTTTGTCTTGTTCTTTGAGGGATAGATTAACATTGGCCAATTTGAGGAGAACATTTGTGGGTCATCTTTTGGCCGAATTTGAGAGTTGATTTCCTCCTGATGATATGAAAATTCTCAGAGATCTAAATACTATTCTCAACCCAGCAATGCTTCCTAGTGACCATAAGGGCATTATCAGCCTGTAGAACTTGACAGGGTCCTTGATTTCTATGGGAATCTTCTCAACAGAGAAGAATTAAAACATTCTTTTGTTCAGTTTAAGTACCTCTTGAATGTCAATAGGCAGTTATCATTGCAGGAAATATGCAAAGATATTATAACTAAACAATCTGAAACATTCCCAGGGTTTGCCAATATGGCTAGTTTGCTGACAATCCCTCTAACTTCTGTCCCTTGTGAAAGGGGATTCTCATCACAAAACAGACACATTTCAAGGTACTGTAGTAGGAGGATTGTTAAAAATGTACAAAATAGAATGATGATCCACTTTTCTGCCAATCAGCAAGATTTTGAATCTAATGAAGTTATTCAGAAAGCTGTGGAAAAGATGTCTCAATAAAAATACTGATATGTGTTTAACTGACTTGCTTGTCTTTATAGTTTGTACACCCTAAATATTCTGTGCACCCCCAAAAATATGACCTAGGGGGTACATGTACCCTCAAATTTAAATTCTAGTGGGAACACTGTTATATACTTCTAATATATACACTTATATTATATTTGTTTTGGTGCTCTTATCATATACTTGAAGATCTTTATTAAATAAGATCAATTAAATAAGACACAGACACCTTGAAAGTATGCTTCATTGTCAAAACAGATGAATTAATTGACATAATTTTCTAAACAACTTCACAAATATGCCATTTTTTTGGGCCTTTGTAAAAATAGTCATTGTTTGTGTGGAGCACAATTGTATCCCTGTGTATTCTTCAATCTTTTATAACACTCTCTAGATAGGTCATTAAGAAATGTCTACAAAGGTAATGGCATTTCCTTGACTGTTGAGAAAACCTCATTGTAAAGATCTTCATAATCCTCATGTTTCTTCACAAGAACAATAATGCAACAAAACTTTCCTAAAGCTGCCCCAATATCCTGAAATAGAGAAAAAGAAATATTACTGCTATTCTATTTCATAAAATTAAAGGTCAGTCATATCAGAATAATGCAATGTCGGTTTTGTCATGTGTTCTTTTGAATAAGTAGGAATCAAGTTTGTAAATAAACAAGAGCCATGTCAACATGGCCATCCCCCGCCGAATGTGTTTGCTCATTGGAAGAATGTTTATGTAGTAGAGCGGAATAATTCCATTTTAAGAGGTCTTTTGGTAATGAAAACTGATGGCTATAGTGATTACAGATTTGAAACCTATGTGAATACTGATGGCTGAAAATAACAAAGGGTAATTACTGAAAAATAATGCAGGGTAGGTTATCATTCTTGTGTGCTGCATCCCTCCTCAGTAAAATCTATCCACCTATGAAGTTTCAAGTTGATACCTCAAATACTTTTTGAGAAAAAAATTGAATTGAAAAATTAAGTATGAAAAAGAACAAAGGGCAATAACACAACAATTATAAAAAGTAGAGTTATCATTCTTGTGCAGTGCACACCTCCTGAGTGAGATCTATGCACCTATGAAGTTTCATTTTGATATCTCAAAGGCTTTTTGAGTTATGCTCTGGACAAAAATTAATTTTGAAAAATAACAAAGGGCAATAACTCAAAAATAATGCAGGGTAGAGTTATCATTCTTAAGCACTGCACTCCTCCTCAATGAGATCCATCCACCTTTGAAGTTTCAAGTTGATACCTCAAATACTTTTTCAGATAAGCTCTGGACAAAATAGCATGAAAAAAAACAAAGGGCAATAACTCAAAAATTGTATAGGGAAGAGTTATCATTCTTGCGCACAACATTCCTCCTCAATAAGATCTATCCACCTATGACATTTCATGTTGATATCTCAAACACTTTTTGAGTTATGCTCCACTCAGGTGAAAAATTAGGTATGAAAAATAACAAAGGGCAATAACTCAAAAATTATGAAAGGTAGAGTTATCATTCTTGCGCACTGCACACCTCCTGAGTGAGATCTATGCACCTATGAAGTTTCATGTTGATATCTCAAAAGCTTTTTGAGTTATGCTCTGGACAAAAATTAATTTTGAAAAATAACAAAGGGCAATAACTCAACAAGAGCCACCGCCGGTTGGGGGCAACGCTCGACTTTTTACTTTTTATTAACGCAAACATAGAAAGGTTTGAACATATTTTAACGTTTCCTTTTTATAAATTAAGTTGGTCTGTCTTGTCACATTTATTTAGTTATTTTGTATATATATATATGAATAGAAACACGCAGAAACACGCAATTCTACAAATAGAAACACGCAATTCAATAAATAGAAAGACTAAATTCTATAAATAGAAACACTCAATTCTATAAATAGAAACACGCAATTCTATAAATAGTAACAAGCAATTCTATAAAAAGCAACACGCAATTTGTACAGGATTTGTAGCAGAGCCTTTAATTCTTTTAATTTTTTGCCAAAATAATTTTGCACTACATTTCTGAGTGGACACTGACTCGCAGAACTCTGACCAGTTTACCCTCCGTCTGACCAGTTTTCTTTTTTAGCTTGTAATATAGTATGTTTACAATTGGCTTCTGCTACTTCATAGGTTGTTAAATTTCCAGGACTTTTTTTTAAATTTATTTATAGCTTTTTTTTCTTTCCTGTACCGCTTTTTGACAATTTTCATTCCACCACGGGACAGACTTATGCCCACCTGCCCTGGGGGTGAAGGTCGGTATAGCCAGTCCAGCCTTGTCCATTATTTTTTCTGTCAAATTTTCAAGAAATATATTGATGTCATTACTGTAGACTTCCTCATAGGTAATATCCTGACATAATGTATGAAAAGTAGACCAATCTGCCTTTTCATAATTTAATTTTTTCTGTTTGGGTAAATTTTGGTCCTCATTGATTTTGGCATTTAGTGATATAATTAAAGGGAAGTGGTCAGATCCCATAGTATCATTTACTACACCCCAAGCCAAAGAAGCCGAAATTTTTGGGGAGGCTAAGGTAAGGTCTATACATGAGAGTGTACCTTGAGCCTTATTTAACCTAGTTGGTGAGCCATCATTTAAAAGCACTAAACCAGTGTTTTCGACCCATGTCCAAACTTCCTTCCCCCTATAATTTGTGCTTGATGACCCCCATACTTGGTGATGAGCGTTGAAGTCTCCAGTTATCACACAATTAAGTAGATTGTTATCTTGAGTAATGATATCATTTATTTTACTCAGTGATAACTGGTCTGCACCCCTTGAATATATATTAACCAGGACTAAGGGGGCACCTGTTAAGTGTATCTTAATTGCTTGTACTTCAAAAGCCACTTCCCCTACTGAATTAATGGGGTTGTCCACAGCAATGACCTCATAGTTAATTGAATTTTTTATAAAAATAGCTAACCCTCCTGCTATATTTTGACTGCCAACGGCACTCTTATTAAAGTGTTTAAATTCAGGGGTGTATCCAGGAAGTGATCTTTCTTTATTTGAGTTCATTTTAGTTTCCTGGATACATAAGATATCAATATGAGGGTTATTATCATTGAAATATAGAAGATCTCCCCTTCTTGAGTTTACCTGGGGTGCCAGGAACCTTATACCCCCCTCCTAACATGTTAGCCCCCCGGGATGTCAAGGCCCTGTGGGTTTTTGTTTTTAAGTCCACAGTCCCGTCATTGGCTATTTTTTCGGGCTCGGGCTTGAAACCAAATTTGTTTAACAGGACACTTTTTATAAAGGTGTCCTGCCGGTTATGGGCTGGTCTGCTTTTATTGTTGATTATGCTTTTAATCAAACTTATAAGTTCTTCTAAGCAGACCGATTTGGTTTCTGCAGATCCAGGGTTCATACAGACCATCCAGGACAAAATTCAAGGAGTTTTCTAGGACTTTTCAAGGACTTTTTCAAGTATTTCAAGGACTAAAATATGTGAAACACTAAAGACAAATATGTGTAAAAGGGCGACAATGTATGAAATTAGTGTTTTACATGCAAATACCTGTTGAAGTACTATCAAATTTATGAAGTTTTTTCTAAGTGTGCAAGATTTTGCAGTAGTTGCTTCAGAGGGTGGGAGTGGTATTGTCAGATTATTGTTATTGTCATCTTTATTCAAGATAGTACTTGCACCTAAACTGAAGAAGCTAGTTACATTGTATATCCTGATTACATTCATTCCCTGTTGAGTGTTGTGAATTGTTTGTGTTTCTCACTTTAATGTGCGATTTTATAGCGCTTTCACCCATTCCTGAAACGTCTATAACCTTATCACAAGCACTACACATCGCTTTTCTTTAATCATCCTTGAATTCTTTAATGAAAGGGTATTTTCTACACATTTTGGCGAGAAATTACACTTCTTCATTTTTTTATGAATAACCCAAACAGGTCCGTGAAATTTACACGTCATGAATATTTCAATCGTGTATAAAAGCCGATACCCGTTCCGTATCGTCTTACTATCTCGTTACAAAGTCGTTTTTTTTTTTAAATTGATGTATATTTGAGTTTTCTTTTGTTTTTTGGCCGCTGTTTTACTCATTTAAATCGTTTTGTGGTACTTAATGAGGAATTCGTGGATTATTGAACAAAATTCACAAGTTTCCTGTAAAATTCAAGGATTTTTCAAGGACTTTTTCCCTGGACAAAATTCAAGGAGTTTTCAAGGACTAACCACCAAATTCAAGGACTTTTCATGGCCTGTGCGAACCCTGAGATCTATTATTGTCCTTTTTAACATATATAGATCTGAAATGAACATGTTTTTGATTGGCCGGTGACGTTTGGGCAGATTTATTGGCCAATGACGGAACCATAGTGATGCTCTTAACCGGTGTGTCAGGGATTGACATTAGCCCGGAAAGAGACAGATTGTTGTATCCCTCGGGGGTCGGGTCCCTCGAGGGACTATTGAAATAAGAAGTATGCATGGAGACCATGGAGCAGGGCTTGACACTAACTTTTTTTAGGGGTAGTCAGAAGGACTACCTACTTTGAGGATCAGGTAGTCCTTGGCAAATCTAGGTAGTCCTCATTTTTAAACATAAAAAAATGTTTCTTATTCTATTTAAATGCATTTTGAGTGTATGTATCTGAAGATAAGAAAACAATAACATGAGATCTCTTCAAATTTATTGGAAAAAATCACCAATAGATAAATCATATAAGATCTATTAAAAGTTTGTAAGCTTTACTCTGCATGAGATGTAGGTTCCGGCTAGCCTCTGAGCTCTTCAAAGTCATCATCAACAATTTTTTTACATATTTTTGTTATAAAATATGGCAGTGTGACACACAAGTCAATAGGTTTTGAAAGGGTTCTAGCCAGGAATTACTAAGGTGTGTTGCAAATAAAATTGCTAGGCAATCAGCTCAGCTTATATTATTGACAGCTTATAGGGAAGGGGAGAATATATTGGCAATATGAGCTAAATAAGTATGTCAGTTTTAAATTTATGTAATACCTGGCTTTTGTATAAAAAAAATATTTCAATAGAGCTTACAAATCTACTTTCAGGTATAGATAATGTATGACCTTTTAGATGTGTTTTTAAATTCAAAACAGAAGTAAAAAGCTTGGACAAGAACAAAATATGTTTGTCTTTACTCTAATTGATTTATTCTACAAACTTATTTTGTCAGACATAAAACAACAAAATATCAGAATAACAAACTTTTACTAGTGCTAGTAATTCAGTTATTTAACTGTCAGAAGATTTAAATAGGGACATTAGATTAATATCTGTTGCTCCTGATTTAAACACAAAATTAGAAATGTAAAGCCATTTAATCAAACTATATTGCCTTAGTTTTTTATGCCTAGGGTATTAGTATTTGTTAACAATTGTTTTCTTCATATACATGTATTGGCATTATTGCTTACATTTGCTTGTACATGATTAAGAAATGCTGACAACATTGTGAAGTTATGGCAAAGACAATTACAAATACTTTAGAATATTTCTTTTCTCTTTTTTAAAGAGATTTAAACATTTTTCTTCTCTTTTTTTATAAAGAGATTTTTTCCCAATCAATAATTTCATGTCCGAATAAATTACATCCGAAATTAGATCCAGACAACACGTTTATTTTGGTTATCATTGTCAGTGTGATTTACATCAATCAACAAATCATATTCTTTTAAGTTAAAACCCTTGAAAAGGTTCCAATATAAGCAAATATTTTCATTGAAATGTTTAATAGACAAAGAATTCTATTGAAGTAGGCTGGAAAAATCGGCAATTAAGTTGGACTTCCGGTTTCACTTTTCGCAACTTTATAGAGATTAAATAGAATCTATTATGCGTCTGCTGTGACTGACACTAGTGACCTAACGGCTAATTATTTACTAGTAAGATGAATTTATCTTTCGTTTTGAATCATAGCCTAAAAAAATGTTATTTTATTAATTATTTTTAGTGAATTTAGAGACATCAGGTCACTGAAATTTTGAGTAGCCCGACGGGATACCCAGCTTGGAAACTCGGGTAGTCCTTGGGGAAAATTGGTAGCCTCGGGCTAACGGACCATCGTTAGTGTCGAGCCCTGCATGGAGTCCTCGTCGGTGACATCAAAGTCCCCACAATCACTCACAGTTCAATCCTTTGAACCGTCCGTGGTGATGGGTGACCCTTCTGCCACCGGCGGTGACCCCCTGATCTCCTTGTTGTTGGGAGTGGAAGAGGAGGGGGGTTCAATAGCACCCCCACTCCCACTCTTATCAATTTTTACAATATTCGGTTGTAGGTTCGAATCCCTATTGGGAGTCCTCACCGCTGCCACACTCTTATTGAGCAAACATCCCTGCTCGGCGTTAACAGGCGAGCATGGGGGTGTGACAGAAGGTGAGTCCCTGAGGGGGGAGGCCACGATCAACCTCTTCCTTGATCATGGCCTCCTCCTCCTTCAGTATGAGCTGGGCCTTTGTCCAGCCTACTTTCCTGGCCCGGGCAATAGTTGTAATTGCTGTGGCGCGGAAATAGGCGACACAACCCGTGTATGCCGCGCTATGTCCTTCGCCACAGTTTATGCATTTAATAACCTGAGACCCACAGGTCCTTGTATTGTGATCCCCGGCACACCTACCGCACCTAATGCTTCCCCTGCAGGACTTGGCCATATGACCAAAGCCCTGGCAGAGATAGCACCTGGTGGGAGGCTTAACATATGTCTCCGTTTTATATTTAATTGTTAGGTCTTCCTCTCTTTGAGTGCTGTAGATGGCTCCCTCTTCTTGTTGGGAAGCCTATCTACAGCAACAAGGGATGCCCCCTTGGACCTGTCAAAATCCAGCCTATGCTGGAGTGTTGACAGGTCCTCCTCCATGGATATGCCGTGGATGACAACATCATATGTTGTCTCCCCCGGCATATTTGTCACTACACATAGGATACTACTGTAAAACACTTATTTTTCGCGAGAACCTTATTTCGCGAATTTGAGGCAAAATGTGCAAAATTATTATTTCGCGTCAACATGAATTCGCGTCTTCCCGAAAAATGTGAAACCGGAAACCTGATGTCATTCTGATATTTATACTAACTCTGCGTTGTTTATTGTGCGACAAATGCATTTATATCTGTATCTATTTTCTGATAGCTTGCTAATCTTCTTGTTAAGTGAAACAATACAATAAATAGAAATGTTACAAACAACTAGCAGGTGCCAAAGTATTTGTAACAATGAGATGAGATGATCAAGTGTGGCAGGCCGGTATTGTTCAATAGACATTGACCTTGATAACTTGTGTTGGAAATTTAATTAATCCATTAAGTTGGACAGATTTTCACATTAATTAGAACAATCTGTAGAAATACCATTAAAGTTTTGTGAGACGCATTTATTTGTTTATACTTAATTCTAGTGCAAGGCACAGTTACCTACCTTGACACAGGTAATATGCAGCGAAAAAGTTTTTTTTCCAATTCTTCAATAATACCAAATTGTTACAGGTAAATATTTCATACTAGTAATCTGTACAATATGTATATGCTGCAACACTTGAATAGCTACATGATGTAACTACAACTGGTTTCGATACTTTCCCGCAGACATATATCCATGCATGTGTACGCATTTTCGGATAGTGTTCATTTTCGGATAAGTGTATAGACAAAGTGAAATATTCACGAGAAATATGAATTCGCGTCTTAGAAAACTCGCGAATATTAGCGAAAATAAATTTCTCGCGAATAATAAGTGTTTTACAGTATTTAATTTGAATTTTTCTAATTTAATACTTGTCACAAGTGCTTCTTGCGACACAAACTCTAGTAAGAGATTACCAGATGCCAAGGGTGTTGCTTTCTTAATATTTTTAACCTTACTGTTAAGCTCCTTGGCCAGGGTCCTAACTGGTAACGCTGTTATTTTCTTAGTTAACCCTTTTAGGACCCCTATGTTCTCTGACGTGTTGCAAGATATCTCATGGTTCTTGCGAGGGTCCAAAGCGCTACCAAGGACCCTCGAAAGATCCATGTGATGTCTAGATGGCCCGTAACGGGCCACCTTGACTGGCATTTTTGCCAATAGCTGCGGTTTAACCGCCAATTATCAATAAGTATATTTTCTGAATTTAAAAATCTATTTATAAATTAAAACTATGGTTATAAGCATATACAGTCGAGACTGCCTTAGCGACCCCCTGATTTAAACGACTCCCTGTCTTATCCGACCTTGTTTCAGTACTCCCAACGTATTTTCCTATAAAAATGGTCTGAATTAAACGACTCCCTGTCATATGTGACAAGCGACCCTAATTGTCTGGTCCCAATGCAATGTTTTGTCTGATTTAAACGACTTTCACACCTTTTAATTGTCCGTTAATCAGATAAATAATACCTATTTTAACACCCAGAGGGCCAAAATAATTAGGTCCAATTATAATCCAGTAGCAAACAAAGTCTACACACCTCTGTCTCAATTACACAGTTAACATGTATACAGGTATCGAGTGACGTCACTAAGCGTCTGTTAATGGGAAGCATGGTGTGTAATGTACATATAATGACCTGAGTAAACTGGATTAAGCTTGTGTCAGATTTTTTTTTAATTATAGAGTGCCAACGGAAGATATTTTAGGCAGCATTTTTTTAATTTACTTTTCTATGGCTGCATAATTAATACGGAAAAAATATGGATACCAAACCAGAAAATTTGGAAATGGATATGTTTAACTTTTACAAGTACATGGATGCATCAAATTCCAGTTAATTAAATACAAAAAAGATTCAATTTAAATCTTAATACAAAAAAATTTAATTTAAATCTTAATACAAAAAATAAAATTAAATTTTATGTGATATACACATGCTAATATATAGTTGTTTTACATGGATTCTTATTTTATTTACATAAAAAATTTACGATTACCTATGTTTATTTGCAATTGGTTAGATATTGTTCCTTCACACAGTTATGTATGTTAAGTCACAATGATATATAGACAGATAGATGGTATTCAAATTTAATTTTCTTTGAGACTGTATTTAGAGACTCCCTGTCATATGTGACCTTTTTCTGAAGATCCCTTGGAATGTCGCATATGACAGTCTCGACTGTACTGTGAATATGATATAATCTCTTATTTTCCTATGAAATACAGCTGAATGTTACATGTATATATATATAAAAAAAAACAAAAAACAGAGTGGCTCACTAGTCAGGTAAACAAACCAAACACACTAATAGTCAATATGATCTTGTATATAATTTTGTATGTCAACCAAAAGACCAAAAGATCAAAATATCTTAAATAATAAATAATGGTTGACCTATTAATCAATGATCAAATATAATAAATAAGTTAAATACAAAATATTCAACTATATATGCTACTTAAACAGTAGTTATTAATACTGATGATTACTTTATAAATGAGAACATATAGCTAGAGGATGAACGGGCTGGTATGGAGCTGGTATGGTATGTGACGTCTAGTATGTAGGTGGGAGGGGTACCGCTTGGCTGACAATCAACGTAGATTGTAGACTGTGAAACGAGTGTGTATGCCGTAGATAGTGACGATCATATAACGATGTAGTGTGCCAATATAATGTAACGTGTCTGTGCTTATATAATGTCTTTTTATATCATAAAACTTTAATGTTTGTAAATATTTTTTCTTTATTTACAATATGGCCTCCACCGGAAGCGGGTGAAGGGAGATAACCCATCTTTGAACTCGATCTGTATTTCATCGAGACAAACATTCTGACAAAGTTTGATGATGATCCAATCAAAACTATGACTGCTAGACTGTTAACAACCCAATTGTTGAGGACGCACGACGCCGGACATAGCCCCATCACTATACCTCACCTTGACCACTTCGTGGTCAGGTGAGCTAAAAAAAGTTGAGCTAAAAAATAACACTGGACGATATCTTTTAAGTTCCTATTTAAAAACTTGTTTCAACTCTTCACTAGAGTATGTCTATTAAATATTCTTCAAATTTTGTTCTTATCAATTACCTCTTTTGATGGGACATAACAGTATGGAATTCCAGCTTCCTCCAGTGTAACTGGGATATGACTGTAAACATCTATAGGGCTAACATCACCAGACATTATTACTAACCTGTAATGTCAATATAATAACTAAATATAAACCATATACATGCAGTTGATGCCAAAGAAAGTCAAACCTGACTATATGAAGGCACTTACATTATGAAAACTACATAAATGTAGCTCACTTCACATTATTTTAAGCTCTATTTCACATAGTAGAACAAGAGCACCGCTAGGCGGAGCATTATATGCCCGTAAGTGTTTTTTTTATATTAAGGGTGAAGCATTTGTAAGACATTGCATAAATTAAATAAAGTATTACCTACTTCCAATAGCAATCCTCCTATAAAGTTTGAATATTGTGGGCCAAGTAGAAATTAAGTTATGCTCCAGAAACTTTTTTTCAGTTTTAAAGTAATAGTGACCTTGACCTTTGGCCTTGTGACCCCAAAATCAATAGGGGTATTCTACCCAATATGGACAATCATCCTATGAAGTTTGAATATTGTGGGCCAAAAAGACCATAAGTTATGCTCCAGAAACTGTTTTCAGTTTTAAAGTAATAGTGACCTTGACCTTTGACCGTGTGACCACAAAATCAATAGGGGTCTCCTACCCAATATGGACAATCATCCTATGAAGTTTGAATATTGTGGGCCAAATGGAACTTAAGTTATGCTCCAGAAACTGTTTTCAGTTTTAAGGTAATAGTGACCTTGACCTTTGACCTTGTGACCCCAAAATCAATAGGGGTCTTCTACCCAATATGGACAATCATCCTATGAAGTTTGAATATTGTGGGCCAAATGGAACTTAAGTTATGCTCCGGAAACTGTTTTCAGTTTTAAGGTAATAGTGACCTTGACCTTTGACCTTGTGACCCCAAAATCAATAGGGGTCTTCTACCCAATATGGACAATCATCCTATGAAGTTTGAATATTGTGGGCCAAATGGAACTTAAGTTATGCTCCAGAAACTGTTTTCAGTTTTAAGGTAATAGTGACCTTGACCTTTGACCTTGTGACCCCAAAATCAATAGGGGTCTTCTACCCAATATGGACAATCATCCTATGAAGTTTGAATGTTGTGGGCCAAATGGAACTTAAGTTATGCTCCGGAAACTGTTTTCAGTTTTAATGGGATAGTGACCTTGACCTTAAACCTTGTGACCCCAAAATCAATAGGGGTCTTCTACCCAATATGGACAATCATCCTATGAAGTTTGAATGTTGTGGGCCAAATGAAACTTAAGTTATGCTCCGGAAACTGTTTTCAGTTTTAAGGTGATAGTGACCTTGACCTTTGACCTTGTGACCCCAAAATCAATAGGGGTCTTCTACCCAATATGGGCAATCATCATATGAAGTTTGAATGTTGTGGGCCAAATGGAACTTAAGTTATGCTCCGGAAACTGTTTTCAGTTTTAATGGGATAGTGACCTTAAACCTTGTGACCCCAAAATCAATAGGGGTCTTCTACCCAATATGGGCAATCATCCTATGAAGTTTGAATGTTGTGGGCCAAATGGAACTTAAGTTATGCTCCGGAAACTGTTTTCAGTTTTAATGGGATAGTGACCTTGACCTTAAACCTTGTGACCCCAAAATCAATAGGGGTCTTCTACCCAATATGGACAATCATCCTATGAAGTTTGAATGTTGTGGGCCAAATGAAACTTAAGTTATGCTCCGGAAACTGTTTTCAGTTTTAAGGTGATAGTGACCTTGACCTTTGACCTTGTGACCCCAAAATCAATAGGGGTCTTCTACCCAATATGGGCAATCATCATATGAAGTTTGAATGTTGTGGGCCAAATGGAACTTAAGTTATGCTCCGGAAACCAAATTGCTAACGGACGGACGGACAGACAGACGGACGGATAGACAGACAGACGGACGGACGCCAGGGGGTATAACATAATATGCCCGAAATTCTTTCGGGCATATAAAAAAGTCATTAAACATTGACCATAAAAGTATTTTTTGGAAAATCAACTGGATGAAATCTCATATTTTAAAGGGTGTAAGAATCTGCCTCACTCGATTTTTGCTGTGTGAAAGCATACTTGTCTTACAAACAATAACCGGTTGAACTGGGTGATGCTCCCCAATAAGTTTTGGACACAGGAAAGTAGTGTCACAGCTTTGTCACAAAGTTACAAAGTGTAACAAGATTGCATTTGTGAAAAATGCTATGCCACCGCATTAATACAACACTAAATAATAGTGTAGGAACAGATCTTTTTTGTTTCTATACAATTGAAGATTGTCATAATGCATAGATCCCTGACCTATCTAATTCTTATTCTCAGATTAGTGGTTAAATCTATTATATTGTTATTCAAATAAAAGATCAGAGTAGGAATATATCAATGCAGTTGAGTGTAGTGAATTTGATGGTGAAGGTCAATTTCACACAGCCGTACAAAGGACAACACAGTAAGACACTGACAAAGTAGGTCACATCATCAAAATCCAGGTCACTTAATATCGTGTGTGCGTGACTTTCATTTTTATTTCACAAAATATTTCTTAGTTATTCTTTTGTAGTTTCAAACAAATTACTCATTGGTCTTCTTCTTCTGTGATTTTCAGGCAATTAAGTACACATATAATTACTTAGTAATTTGTATGGAAGTCAAAATATTACTTTGTTTTCAAGGTCATTTATGGATGAAGGTCAAGGTTAGTGTAGTCTACTCTAGGCCTTGTGGATCTTTACAAGAAGATTTTTTAAATTCATTCTTATTATTCCTCTTGGTTGCCATGACAATCAAATTTCTGCATGGAATGAAATTTTCTGAACAACTTCGGAAGCCCTTCACCCAAGGATCAATCCTGCCACTTTTGGTTGAAATTGGACAAGTGGTTTTTTACAAGAAAATTTTTTAAGTTCATTATATAATCTATATAACATACAAGCATGCACACGCACAGGCACACACACACACACACACACACACACACACACACACACACACACATACATACACACACACAGGTGAATCACTATATACCACCGCTTTGCAGATGCTGCAGTGTCATAAAAATTTCAATAATTTGACCTTCAAAGTCAAGGTCATTTATGAGTCAAGGTCAGGTCTGTCTGGTTAATTCAAAGGACTATCCTTGAAGACAATCCATTCAAAAATAACAAAGTTACAGCCAATAATAACAAGAACAAGCAAATTTGAACATTTGACCTTGAAGGTCAAGGTTATTTATGGATGAAGGTCAAGGTTAGTCTGGTCTACTGATAGGTCTTGTCCCAAGGGTTATTGTGGCCAAGTATGAAGACAATATACCAAGAATTTAACAAGCAATTATCATAGTATTGCAAGCAATCCATAAGTCCCAGGGCTCTCGTTTGGTAAAATTTGGGGCCGAATATTGGCCCCATTCCCCCATTAAAATAGTGTGTTTTTCCCCCTTTATCCAAAATAAATCCCCCTTGAAAATAATATTTAACTGCCATAGATCAGGGATCACATTTTAAGTTGAATTTTTATACAAAATATCAAAGATGTAGTCAATTTCATTGGAAATAACTAAAATATTTGATATAATTTCATGATAGCAGCTTATTGTTGATAAATTTTTAACTCAGAATCTTGATTTCACTTTTTTTTTAATAAATTAATTTTCTTCTATTGAAATTCCCCATTGAATGAAAAATATTTTAAAATCATGTGAAATTCCCCCCTGCATGGACCCTGGCCCCAGTCTCAAAATGCTAACAAGAGCCCTGAGTCCCCTACCGGTTAGAACCCCAGCAACATTCTGAAGGGCCATTGGCCATTCACTTATGTCTCTATTTTAAGTAAATTTGTTGAAAAAGTTCTTTAAAAGTGATCACAGGAAACAGTTTTTATGTACAGACAGACAGACAGACTGAAGGACATACTGCCATCTACCCATATATCAAGTTTCATAAAAAATATTTCCAGTATTTTTTGCGTTATTACTGGATCCAGGTTGTGTGTAAAAAATGCCATATTTTCAGTCTATTTGTTTCCATAGCAACCATAATTTTCAACATAGGAAGAAAAGAAAAAGACGTGCATAATCTCCATACTGCCATCTATCCATATATCAAGTTTCATAACAATATTTTTAATTCATTTTTTACGTTATCGCGGGATCCAGTTTTGTGGACAAACAGACTGACGGACTGACAGACAGACAGACGGACGTTCTCACAGGACAGTAATTATGTGGCTACTCTATTGTTCTCTCTATTGTTCTTTTTAGCCACACAAAAGAAAATAGCCACATAAAAGCATTACGGAATGAATGACATCAAAGAGAAAGAACAGTTACCTATTGTCCCTCTAGCCACATAATTACTGTCCTGTGAGTGCGGACAGACGGAGGGTAAACCTAAAGTCCCCTCCGGTTAAACAGGTAGGGGACTAAAAAATAACTAGACATGTGTCCATAGGTCACGGGTGCCCCCACCGCACCACTGTTCTGTCAATCTTATGGCTCTAGGTCAAATATTTCTTGAAAACTAAAAGTCTTTTACTAAGTAAAGGGCAAGAACTTTACAAATACTGAATATATCCACAAGCAAACCCCAAGGTGCATAAGTACACATGCTGACCAACATCAGGGTTGTCATTAACATTTTTTGCAGAAGGTTTGTTTTGAACTTGAGGCGGTCATTTCTGTCTTTATCATGCATAACAAAGAGTGTTTTCTTAATTTTGAGGCGGCCCATAATGCATTTGAGACAGGCATTTTGGCCTCCTGCCGCCTCTTAATGACAACCCTGCAACATTCTTGTAAACTTTCAGGCCTACAAGTGAAATACTTTTTGAGCTATGCATGAACAAGTTGAAAATTGCAAATTTATACTACTGTAAGTCAAGGGCAATAACTCTTAACAAAACTGAAAAAAATCCATATGCAAAGTCCCAGGTGCATAGCTTCACAGTAATGTGAATCATTATTCCTGTAATTTAGTGATGTTAATCATTATTCCTGTAAAGTTGGTTGATTCTAACTCAAGCAATCAAGGAACAAATAACATAATGAAACGGTTTATACTAAGTCAAGGGAAATAACTCTACAAAATACTGGATAAATCCACAAGCGCAACCCTAGGTGCAAAACGAAATATGCTGAGCAACCTTCCCGTAAGGTTTAATGACTCTTTGTCAAATGTTTTTTGAGTAACATGCGACACAAGTTGAAAATTGCAAAATTTTCTAAGTCAAGGGCAATAACTCTAAAAATACTAAATAAATCCAGACGAAAATACCCAGGTGCACAACTACACATGCTGATCAATATTCCTGTAAAGTTTCATGTCTCTATGTCAAATACTTTTTGAGTTACATGTGACACAAGTTGAAAATTGCAAAATTTTACTAAGTCAAGGGCAATAACTCTAAAAATACTGGATAAATCCAGACGAAAAATACCCAGGTGCACAACTACACATGCTCATCAACATTCCTGTAAAGTTTCATGACTCTAGGTCAAATACTTTTTGAGTTACGTGCGACACAAAAGAGAACGGATGGACAGAAGGACGGACAAGGGTAAATCTAAATGCCAGCCACTAAAGTGGGGGCACAAAAATAAAAAGTCGAGCTAAAAAAACAAAATATATGCATTTGACCTTCAAGGTCAAGGTCATTTATAAAAGAAGGTCAAGGTAAGTCTGGTCTACTTGAAGGTTTTGTCCCAAGGAATGTTGTGGGCAGGTATGAAGAACTTAAAACATTATGATGAAGGGTAATGTTTGCAGACGGTAATGTTACCTCTTGACAGACAGATAACTATATGCCCAGTGGCATAATTTTTTTTCATTATTTTGGCCCTTTTCAAAGGATAACTAATTTCAAGTACTTTTCATGGTGAGAAACCATTTCAAGGATATTTCAAAGCTTCTGTGAACCATGGTAAAAATACATCTTCAATAAATAGAATAAGCCTACAATATTTACCCTTTCTCTCCTTTACGCACTCTTTTTTGTACATCTCTAATACCCTCTACAACGTGTTTAACTCCTTTGGCTGAAAAATGATAAATTAGCCTTTTAATCATGTAAGCTATAACTGGCTTAATATACAATAAAACAAGAACGTGTTTGCCCAAACCAAAATCGCAAGCTAACATTGCAAGCTTGTCACAAGCTTGCTGCAAGCTTAAGTTGCAAGCTTGCTACTGGCTAGTAATTGGAACCTTGCGGCAAGCTTGCGGCAAGCTTGCGATCAGTTATTTAAAAAAAATCTGACTGTAAACTAGTTAATATTTAAGCTTGCGCAAGCTTAATCGCAAGCTTGCGCAAGCTTAATCGCAAGCTTGCGCAAGCTTAATCGCAAGCTTGCGCAAGCTAAATCGTAAGCTTGCGCAAGCTTATTTGCAAGCTTGCGCAGGTTTATCTGCAAGCCTGCACAGGCTAAGTCGCAAGCTTGTGCATGTATAACTACAAGCTTAATGTATAAGCTTGCGCAAGCTTAATGTATAAGCTTGCGCAAGCTTAATCGCAGGCTTGCAAAAACTGTAAACCCTATTTTGAAAGGGAGCTGCTACGTATAACAGTCTCTGAATCCTATATAACATGCAAAAAAAAGGCATTAATTACCATGATAAACTTATTTAATCATAAATTGTAAAAAGAAGCTGATGTTAAATTTTTCATATACTAATGTTTTCTTCCAATTACCATGGTAAATAGTCCAGCCTTGATGGAATGACATTGAAAAAATCCAGCCTAATTCCAGCATCCCTGAATGTTCTTAAAATGTAAAATTCTGGGATGGAATTCAGCACAGGAATGTTTGGGGTAGAATTTTTATGAGTTTAACATGATCACATATTTCTTTCACAAAATTTAATACATATCCTTTAGTCCAAATACAGAATAGAACACCCTGCATTCACTATAACACAAACAATTTTTTTCTAGCTGCAGGTTTTGGTAGGTTCTTGTTTTCTTAGAATCCAACACTTTGTTTTAAGCAATTATTTTGCTCTTAGTCAGTCAGTGACAAACTATTCAATCTTAAATTTGTTTTAAATGTTTCTGATTATTTAAATTACTATTTCTTTTTATCGGTGTCCATTTTTAGTCCTCTGCCTGTGTTTCCTAGAACTTCTTATGGTTGTGCTGACCTTTAAAGATAAAATTCATGATTAATTAAAATACAGATGCAGTAATGAACTATGTTTTATTGCATAAATGCAGTTATATTACATATCTTTTAATAACATCGAATCTAATGTTTCAACAGTATTAACTATTAAGTATTAACTATGCTTATGCATTTTCAAAAAATACTAAAGCAATGCAGTATATCTTATTTCAATGTGCACAAATGTTTAAGAATTTCTCTGTATGAGAATTAAGTAAATTTGTGACAATATTTATTACCCAGTATGTATTTTTTCAAGAAAAGGTGTTGAATAGAAAAGTATTGAGATTTAATAATATACCTTTTCAGGATTAATACTGCACATCATTATTAAACACTGCCGCTATTTCTCACAGTCAGCACTTATGTCCCAGTCTGCAAATTATTTATGTATAATGTAATTTTAGATTGTTCCATTGAAAACACAATGCACATACATGTAAAATAACAAATGATTATGATTGATCCTGTTCAGCTGTACAACTTAACTACTGATTGTACCATTTAGTCCTATTTAATCAAATTGATTTAATTTGTTTAATTTGCAGGAAAATGAAAAAGATCTACTAACATGCCATTTAAACAATATAAACAATCATTAAAAAGAAATCATTGAATAATTTATATTTTACAGATTATACATGTATAGATTAAAAAAAGAATTATCAGAAAAACAAATGCATGAAGTTGAAAATATATAAAAACAACCTTGATCTCTTGTTACAAAATGTTAATAATTTGATATATAACCTGTTTCTGCATTAATGTAACTTAAGGTTTATAAATACCTGATTCTGTTGTATATCTTCTTGTCCCAGGTGATTCTGATTGTTATCATACTTAAACACTTTAAAATCTTAAACAAAACAATATCTCAAAAACTGCTAAATTTCAAGTACATCCTCTGTAATTTGCTCTCTTTGCTGACCCAGATATCTTAGAATTCAAATTTTACAACTGTAAAACTGGACAGGTCTATCATTATGTAAAGCAGGGTTAATCTACTCATCATATTAACTTTCATTCTTTGAGGGTAAAAGAAAATATATAATAGCTAATAGATATATAGATTTTAAAAATCATTACAAATTTTTGTACAAAAAGATTGCAATGTCCTTCTAGACATATTCTGTATATGAAATTTACAATGTTATCTCTCCCCAAAATAATCACATGGAACAGCCTGATCTGTCGGAATGACCAGGGAGTAAATTAGTCATGCACAGATGGTCAATGAATTTTATCAAGGCTCTGATGTGTGTAGCGTAAAATCTCAGTGGTGGAGTATTTATTTTCCTAAATAAAAGCAATATATATTGATTAATTTAATATAGAATATATATGAGATTATTTCATGCACTGTTTTTGTTTTGTTTATTTATTTATAGTTATCCAAAAACATGAATTTTTAGAATTTAAAAATGGCAAGCAATGCAATCCCATCTTGATTATTATAGTGTCTGAATGATTGAATCACAGACTTTAATTAATTTATAGTTAAACTTAAAGCCTGTAATTAAATGGATATTATTTCATTGTACATAACTTCATGTAGATTTATTGAAATAATAATATGTATATTTAACAATCAATTCATTTACTTTCTTTTGCACAGACATTTTTTCTGAGATACCCTTTTTCCAACTACATGAAATGTATAAAGTGTCAATTTCAAATCATTTACAGTAACTTTGCATTAAAATAGATGATGATTTTATATTTTCTTCGTAAATTTACAATACTGAGCTGAATATATATAAAATAACTAATAACTAATAATAAACTTTTAGCGTGGTAATTTAGTTTAAACTAGTTAATTATCACTGATACTATCATTTTGGAATTTTTATTTTAATGTGTACACTTTTGACAAAAATTTTCTAAGTATTTCAATTACTTTCACAAGAAATTTTAAGTGTAGATTTGTACAAAATTTTCTAAGTGTCTACTAATTGCAAGCTGCGGCATTGCAAGCTTACATCAAATGTTTGCAAGCTTGCATGAATTTTAAACAAGCTTGCAATATATTTCAAAAGTCATCGCAAGCTTGCGCAAGCTTGTTGCAAGCATGCAGCAACCTTGTATTTAAGCTGTAAGCTTGCGGCAAGCTTGTGACAAGCTTGCGGCAAGCTTGTCGCAGGCATGCATTTTGGTTTGGGTGGTAAACACAAAATTAATGCCCATGACCAACATTCTTGTCATTAACAAATTTCAACCAGAAATGTCTGTGGACAGCATGTTTCAATTCTTTTTAGTGCTGGAAAATAAAATAATTTAAGCAATATAGAAAAGAACTATAACTATGCAAACATGCTTATCAGACTTACCTGTCCTTAATAGTTAACAAATATTTCAAGCTTTAAGTGAATACCTTCAACAATTTTTGAGAACAAGAAGGCCATAATGACCCTGAGTCGCTCACCAGAAACAACTGCTTTTCAGTAAAAGAAAAAAAGACTACCTAAGAATGCTACAGACAAAGTTTGGTGATCATCCATCAATTAGTTCTGTAGAAGCAGACGTTTTAAGGTATTTCTATTTTTAGCTTAAGCAGCTCCTTTTTTTGGAGCAAACTTGATCAAAAGACTACCTAAGAATGCTACAGACAAAGTTTGGTGATCATCCATCAATTATTTCAGTAGGAGATGATGTTCAAAAGTTTTTCCTTTTTTTAGCTTTAATTAGTGGCCCCTAAAAGGGGCCAATCAAGTTAATATGAGCAAACTTGATAAAAGACTACCTAAGAATGCTACAGACAAAGTTTGGTGATCATCCATCAATTATTTCAGTAGGAGATGATGTTCGAAGGTTTTTCTATTTTTAGCTTTAGCAGCCCCTAATAGGGGCCAATCAAATTAATATGAGCAAACCTGATAAAACACTACCTAAAAATGCTACAGACAAAATTTGGTGATCATCCATCTATTATTTCAGTCGGAGATGATGTTCAAAGGTTTTTCTATTTTTAGCTATAGAGACCCCTAAAAGGGGCTAATCAAATTTATTAAAATGAGCAAATTTGATACAAGACTACCTAAGAATGGTACAGACAAATTTTGGTGATCATCCATCATTAAATTTAGTAATTGAAATGGCATGAGCAAATTTAAGTGTGACTGTCACAAAGATGCTACAGATCAAATTTGAGGTAAATCTGCCCATCAGTTTCAGAGAAGAAGATGATTGTTGATGCATGACGCTGGAGTATCCTCCTTTAAAGGCCTGGGAACAAGTATAAAAGGCAGACAAGCAGAAAAATGCCACTGCTGTTGATATCTCTGTATGTCTGTTCTGCTAGCATAACATCTCAGTAGAAGAGATAGAAAATTCGCACCACATCCTCTCAAAATTTAAAAGAGACATAACCTCATATTATTTTGCTATAGAATTGCAACATTCCTTCTTTATCATGTAAGCAATCATTCCTTGAAAGTTACATGATCTCTGTGATACTTTATAATACTATTTTTAAAAATCTTCCTTTTTTTTGTATAATAACAGTTATTATAAATTCATGATAAATTTCCTTGCTTGTGTATTTGATTTGACATAGTTTGTACGAGTTCCTGGATGGGGAGCGAGCGTTCTCCTCTCAGACCAACTAACAGACCTCTCCCTCCTAAGGTATAAGGGGGGGGGGGTTTTTTTTTTTTTTGTTTTTTTTTTTTTTTTATATCATTTCTTCATTATGTTAGTTTTTGATACCCGCAAGAATAGAGACAGGGGAAAATAAAATAAATTAAGAGCGCAAGGAGACTACCCTCTATCTCTTTAGAAAAATATTCTATTGCGCAAGGGGGCAGAGATAACTTAATTATTTATATTATATTGATTAGATGTTATACTGTGGGCCGAGGGTGCCGGATAACAAATACTGAGGAGGGTGAAGTCTCACCCTTCGCTCACCACATCACCCACTCACCCTCCCATAAGCTTAACTCTGCTTCCGCCATCCATATC